GAGGTTGCGATGAAATTCAAGGCACGAGGATTGGACGAGAGAGAAGTGAGGGATATTTGTGGCTTGAGCGGATTTGTTTGTTTGTTTTTTGCTAAAAGTGATTTCAGTACTTATGTCTCGAGGAAGCAGTGCTGGATTTGATCGTCATATTACTATCTTTTCGCCTGAGGGAAGAGTCTACCAAGTTGGTTAGTTGTTTCCTTGCGTGCCTATTGTTATGGAAATTTCTCCTTTTATAGTTGAGTTGAAAGTTTAAATGTGACATTTGTTGGAGCAATTGTCAGGACAGAACACTGTTCTGTCGGGCTCATAACTCAGGTCAATTTAGCCAGAAGTACTGAAATTGACTCATTACAAGCATTTAATACAAAAGGGTTCGTCAAACCCAGAATTCAGTTTCTGCATAACTGGTACAAGTGCGATTTTGATTCACATTTTTGAACTGAAAGTGGTAACATTGGAAATGGTTTTTGAGCATTCGTAATGTACAGCTTAATGAAATCAGTGTTGAATTATTAAAAGTAGCTGAAAGATGTAAGACCAAGTACGACAGGCTTTTCCAGTGAAAAAAGTTTTTTGCAGCTACGCAATACAGAAAACGCATGTCGACGAAGGATTGTCTGTGCGTCCTTGTGTCTGTGTGTGCGTCTGTTACGCACCTTCATATCAAGACCTATAAAAGCTGTGGGGCTGAAAAAAAAATCTACACGTACGTGCCAGCCCCAATCCCCAAAATGGGCGCCAAAACCTGCGTGGTAGCTGCGTACAGGCCCACCAAAGTTTTTTTCGGGTAAGTTCATAACTTGGAGATCTGAGAAGCTAGAACGCTGAAATCTTAGGGGAATGTCCCCTTCCCCGTCCAACTAAGTACTGATGCACTCAAACCCATCTCCCGGGTAAACGTGGCACCCGCGTACGAGCCCGTCAAATTTTCTTTGGGTAAGTTCATAACTCGAGGATCTGAGAAGCTAGAACGGTGAAATCTTACGGCAATGTTCCCCGTCAAAGTAGGTATTAACGAGTTCAAACCCTACCCGCGGGTGAGCGTGGTACCCGCATACGGGCCTTTGAAATTTTCTTCCGGGTAAGTTGCTAACTCGGGAAAGTGAGAAGCTAGAAGACTGGGATTTTGAAGGGATGTTTCCTGACAGTCCTGGCGGCCAGGCTGAAATTCCTTTGGCTAGAAACATCTGCCGGAAAAACCAGTGCCGTTAGCGACAAAAATCTGCGGGGAGCTATGCAAAAAACGCATCTTCTCACGGACAGCCGTGCGTTGGCCAATTATTTTTAAAAAGGAAAAAAAGTTAAAAATAAAAATTAGAAAATGAAAGTAGATGCAAGCTATTTTGAATGATGCAGTTTTTGTAAATGAGAGAGTGTGTTGCTGCTGCAGAATATGCATTCAAAGCGATCAATTCGACAAATTTGACGGCCGTTGCCGTGAAGGGTGTTGATTGCGCTGTTGTTGCAGTCCAGAAACGCGTCCCAGTTTGTCTTCATTTTTTTTTAAATGAATTTTGTTGCATTAAAAATTATCGCTCTTTATTGATGAGAAACTTAGTTGCAAGCAGCGATAGAATCTGTAGGTCATATTCGGATGTGTTGCTTCAAGCTCAGAACTGACGATGCATTGCTGTAAAATAGCTTCGCGACTATTGTAAGGCAGAATGAGCCAGCTTAGCATCTTCGATGGGGCTCTTGCTGTGAGTTCTGTCGAATTCCACTTTGACCGAACTATTGTTTGCGGTTTATATCTTACTAAGCCTTCTTTAGTCGAACTCATTTTTTTAGACGTTTTTAGAAATTTTTGCTCGTGACGTAGATGTCCAATAAATGACTTTTATCGGAAGCAACA